GAAGTTTAACGCACTTCTTTAACAGCTGTCTGATACTAATGTATTAAGTCGTCAAAAAATGGATGTCACTTTTTTTAGATGAAAAAACCAGAACAACTTATACATCAAAACAAAACATTTATTAAATGAAATAGTCTCCATTCTTATCGATGATGCTTTTCCATTTTACAATCAGGTTGTTAATGCCCTGATTAAAGAAATTCCTTGGCTTTGAAGCAAAAAACATGTCGATGTCCTCTTTAACACCTTTCACATTTGCAGATATTTTCCCATTAAGATGGTGTTGCAGCGAACGAAAAAGATGGTAATCTGATGGTGCTATATCTGGAGAATATAGTGGGGTGAAGGAGAACTTCCCAACCCAATTATATAATCTTGTGTTGCGTCAAACGTGCCACATGTGAACGTGCATTGTCGTAAAGAAGAATAACACCTTTCCGATTGACGAGTGAAGGGCGTTTCTGATGAAGGGCTTGATTTAAATGTTCCAGTTGCTGACTATAACATTGACAGTTCGTTGTGGATTGAGGAGTTCGAAATGAATTACTCTTCTGATGTCCCACCAAATGCAATACATCACTTTCTGCAGATGGAGTTCAGGTTTTGGGGTCAAAAGTAGTTTGTCTAGGACTGAGCCATTGTTTATGGCGTTTAATATTCACATAGAGAATCCATTTTTCCTCACAGTTGACAATACTGTCCAAAAATAGTTCACGCGCATTACGCGCCAGAAGAGACGAAGCAACGTTCACACGTTGGAAACAATGATCATCGGTGAGTTCGTGAGGCACCCAAACATCTTCTTTATGGAATTTTTCCATATTTCTTGGATGTTTACGTATTGTTTTATGAGAGACATGCAATTTCAGGGCCAATTCACAAGTGTATTGCCTTTGGTTAGACTCAACAAGCGTCTTCAGAGCATCAGTATCAATTCCAACATGTCGGCCCCTGCCATCACAGTTTTTAAGGCTAAAATTACCTGAATAAAATTTGCTGAACGCTCAAAACATTTCCATAAACTTCTTTGATGTTCTTTGTGGTTACAGAGGCGTTGTTTCCCCTTATTGTATTCAAACAGTATTTCATGTCTAATTTGTGTCTCGTCGTATGCCATCACTATAAGGGATTAGAGTATACTAAAATTTACACATTATATAGGCTACACTAACGTAACGTTTAGGCTGTTCGTTTAACTATTATACGTGATGTACGTTTTTTGGGAAGTCGTTAATGAAAGTTTCCAAAACTCGACATTAAGTTCTTGTCGACCTAATATAAACAATACATGTCTATAGTAAATAAGATGAAAATATTTAGCCAATTATAAAACACAATGTTTGTAAACAATAAAAAAGATATCAGTTTTATTTAACTGAACATCATCTAAAAATATGTTCATCTGCATAAATATATGTAGTTTTTATAAAAATATGATGGTTAATAGAGAACATATGTTTGTTCTAGCCAATATTAAAGACCCTACTTTGTATTTGTCTCAGAAAACATGTATTCAATTCTAATTACAAAATACGGAAGCTACTACAGATGTTTTTGTAGTACGGTAAATAGCGAAATTTACCATCATTTCCGTAACATTACATGTCATGAATACTTGACGAGCCAGGCTTGATCCTTCTGATAAGTCCTCCCTGTTGCGCATCAGAAGATCCAACGTTCGAGTCGCGATATACTGCTAAACTCGCTCCTTACGTCCAGCAGCAGGGGCATTATAAACAAAGAGTCCGTAATAGATTACGATTACTGTGTATATGGTGGATGCTGTTGACTGGTTGCTCTTTCTCTCTCTAGTCAGCATAATTCTAAATTAAAGTGATATGCCTGAACCTTGTGGTTTCTAATCTAACATTTTGACACATGAGGTACCGTTCAGGTTGAAAATATTGAGAATGTATATAGCTAGTCAATTTGTAAATCAACATTACACAAAAATAT